GTCGCACCAATTACAAATGTGTACGCGTCATTAAAGACACACTCAGTGTCTGTTGTTAAATGTCCTGCCTGCTGTCCACATATGTTACAAAAGGGAAAATGAAATGATTAAAGGAGAATTAATTAATTTAATCCTAAATCATCGCTTCTCCAATGTAGAAAATGGCCAAAAAATGAATTTTTTACAATTCAAAAGATATAACATTAACAGGAACCAGGTCTGTGCCATTTTTGATTATGCTTTGGATTTCAAGTGCTTACAAAATCAATCTAATAAAAACTTTGACCATTACCATATTTGGAATATGTCTGCAGAAGTAAAGACAGCAGAAGGAGCTGCAGAAAGAGCAGCTATGTTTAGTTCTGTAGGCAAATCTCTTTAACCAACAAAGGTTCAAACAGCGATCGTCTTTCCACCAACTGATACCGAACCATAAAAGGCAAAGTAGCAAAACCACAGCGATGTCCTCCACAACATCAGTAAACAACGTATCCTACAGTACTCCAGCAGTACTACCAACTTCTTCAGGGTATGTTTACTGTTTGTGCTGGGCTTTAATGAACCAATCCTCGTGTTCTTGGATTTTATTTCCCCACTGAGAGATCCAGGAAGTCTAATCCAATCTTACCTAATCGAGTCACTGACCTGTATTTATTAAATATCATTCGTCAAAATGTCAACTACATGTAAAGGAACGTTATAACAGTGATCTAAAGTGAGCAAATGCTAATGTGTTTCATAGCGTTATTAGTTATGATAACTGCTACTCGGTTTCTACTTATTTGTTTTTTTCGGATTTGAATTTTGTGATCATAATCAGGATGTTTTTTCCCCAGTAATCGAGCAGCTCCGATAGGGATCTGAGTGAATAAACAGTCGCATCCGCAAAAACGTGAAAGAAACATTTCAGCAGAGAGAAAAGTTATTGTCTCACACTCTCATTCATCCCCTCATCCATAAAACTTTAATGAGAAGCCGCAGACGCCGTGTCTCTGAGCTATCACTTCTGCCTCTGACTATGTTTTATTTACTTTTTATTACTTCATGTTCTTGGGATTTCGTTGGACTTTTTTTTTATAGATTTCTGCGATGAGATTTTGTGTACTTTTTTTATTTTCCTTTGCTTCTTCTTTTTCCCTGTGTCTTAACAAGTCTGTTAAACTGGAAGTAGGTGGAAAAAATAATTAACCAAATGCTTGGCCTCACATATTGTTACGTAGGGTTCGGATTGAACTTTCAGTCGAACATATACCGTAGACATTTGAGCCTCGACAATTAAGCCATTACCTTTTAAACAATTACAAATTATGGACATCTTCAATTTTTATTTCTTACGCCAATAATGTTTTTTTTTTGTCCCCAAATAATAAAAATATTTTTAAATTGAAGGACCTATCAGCACGTTATTCATTAGTTATTAGTAATTATTCAAACATGGGAAACCAAGCCAACAGAGAATGTCCTGCTATTAAAGGACCACTACGTGTGTGTGTTGGTTGGTGTGTGTGAGAACTTACCCATCCACCTTGGGTTTCGATCCATGGCTGGATGTGGTTGTCAAGATAGACTGTCATCCAATCCGCAATCCTGGCCACCAGCTGACTCATCTCTTTCTCCACGCACTCGACACTCAGCGCCCCGCCGAAGGCGAAGAGCCCTATGATGCGACCCCAATTGACACCGTCCCGGAACACTTCGTCCATCACATTCTCGAAACTTTGGTAGGCAGTGGCTGGTGTGATGTGCAGCTGCTGGTGCAGATCGCTGAAGGCCCGCGCGTATCGCAGTTCAAACTCGTTGGCCGAGTCCCGCAGAGCCTCTTTAATGGAGTCCAGACTTGTATCCGACGCCGAATGCTGCTGCCGCAGTGGAGATGCAGGCGGCGTCCCAGAACTTGTGCCGTTTACAGTCCCGTTGGCGTGCGTACTTGTCCGCTGCTCTGCGCCCAACCCTGCCTCTTCCCCATCAGTCCTGTTTGGAGAATCACCGAGTCCCAGGTGGTGGACGGGAAAGTTCCTCTGGGAAAGTTTATACTGTATGTAGTCGACCACCAGTTTTCTGTTCTGAGACATTTTGTCTTTTAAATTAAATGTTTCCTCGTTGCTCCACTGAGTCTCTGCTCCCCTCTTGGTGGAGCCTCGCAGTGTTAAAGTGAACACACACTTGCTGTGGCGGCGTTTCTCCCTGTGTGTCCTCTGCTCACGCACCCATGGTCAGCTGATGTCCAGAGGACACTCGGGGGGTCAAAAGTAAACCTACGTAAGATGGAGAAATCACCTCAGGCCCTGTGGAGAGACAACAATATTAAAGGTCAAAGTCTGGACAGTTGTGTGTGCGTGCGTGTGTGTGTGTGTGTGTGTGTGTGTGTGTGTGTGTGATTGTGTGTGTAGGGATCAAGGGGGAGATTTACATTATATTTGGACAGGTAGGTCAAAGTGCTTCTCTCTAATTGGCCTGTTGCATATGGAGCAGATGACAATGATATTAAAAGGACAATGGAAGTGTGTCTTTTTATCTATGTGTGTATTGACTTCTGATATATTTATTGATCAAATTGTTTTTGGTCTCCTTTGGTTACATCATGTTGGATCAATCACAGACCATATGTAAAAAAAAAAAGTCTAGATTTAAACTGCTGCTATCTATTTATAACAATTTAACATTTTTTTCTTACAATTTTAGGGTCTTCCTTAAAGAAAGTACGTGACGTATGTACGTAGGCTCCATGTGTGTAAGTCAGAGAAAGACATCAGGGAGACAAAGGAAGGCGTGGTGTGATGAAGGTGAGGGTACAAGGTGATGAGCAATCACTGAGACGGTCTGGTATGAGGAAGAAGAGAGAGACCAGCGTCACCTCCTAATCAGCAACCTCTGACCTTTGTTTATCTCAGCTCCAGCCTGTCTACTGTCACAGACAAGCATGGATGGGCAAGCAAAACACACACACACACAGTCATCTCCATAGACCATAGTTCAACTATGCCCTTGAAAAATTAAACTGCATTAAATCCCACCTTAATCAAATTTACCTCTATTTAAAAAAATGCCATTTTGTTTGGAGGCCAGTATTTTAAGCTAGGTCAGTGTCACAGTCCTCATGTTCTACATGAGCGTGTTTTCCTTCTAACAACAGATGTCAGTCACGGAGCAGGACTGACTCCACTGCTGCTGCTGCTGCTTCTGTTGCTACTAACGGCAAAACAATGAAGGACCAGCATTGTCATCCTGCGCACGCAGTGTAATAAAAGACCATTATCTGAGGTGGAGGTTGGTTTTAACACAGTCATTCTTGCAGCAGCACATCACTCCCTTCACTCTGGTCTAAAACCAAGTCTGACACTTCTGACTAGTACACATGTGTAAATCATGTAATTGTTATTATAGTATCATTAAGCATTTGTTAAAACAAAAACAGAAACATTTTGTGCGATGGTTCAGGAAATTTCAACTGGACAGTGTCAGGCATAAGACGGTCATAAGAACATAAAGAAGCAGAGCAGGCAACTGGGCGTTATAGATCCTGACAGAATCCTACCTCCATAGTCTGCAATATCTCAGGAGTATGTACCTTTTGCTCTAAGAAACTGGAGTTATTAAAACTGCTTGTTGCTTTAGCAACCAAGCCGTGATGTACAATTGCTGATTTTCTCAATGATCTTTGATGCAGAGGAGTGGGTGGTTTTACAAGAAAAGAAAAACAACATTTCCAAGGATAAAAACACTGAAAATGTATATTTTGAGATAATGTTGAGCTTTAATGAAATGTATCAGTATCATACACAGCCACATTTTTATGCTTAACTGTATCTTTAACACCAACATTAGCACAAAAAAGTGATGTCACTAAAGATCACAAGACCTGCTCATACACTGATATGAAACTGACGGTATTAATAAAATGTCAAAAGCAGAAATAATGAAAATGAAACATCACTGTGGAATTTTTTTTTGTTTTTTGGAAGCAGCATTAGCATGTCTCCTGACCATTACTTCAAATATTGTGTGTTAAAATAAATAGCATTTGCCATCTGGCTTGGATAATACGACTAATGTTACTGTGGTAGACTGCTTTTACCAGCCCCTAATAATGTAAGAGCAAAGTAATAAATCCATTAAGGAGATAATATCCCCAAGACAAAGTGTAATGAAATAATCATAGGTTTCAGCCCCCTCAAAAGGAAAAAAAAGTCTTAAAAAAAATCTCATACCCAACTCTCACACCATCATTACTAAGAGTTATAGCACAACTTCAGTTCATTAAACATTTATCTCCATATTCTGCAGCTAGTAAATGTGACGTTAAGCGAGGCGAAAGTACTTCCCCGAAACAAAAGACAGTAGGAGTCGACGCAAGAGTCGACTCTATTTCATCCTCGTGCTCTGCTGCCTTTTACTGTCGCCACTGCACTGGTGTAGGTGAAGGATGCACCGTACTTTACAAAGATGTGGGAGGGAAATGACCTCACCATGATCCTAAACTGCCCCATGGTCATCCTGAGTAAAACCTGACCTTTACGGGAACAATACTGACATTTAGGCTGATAACTATTTGGAACTAATTACTAGTGTCCAAGGGCGGGACAAAGGGATATCAATGCAAATAAGGCCCGTTGACATTAAACATCAGGGATGTAACAATTTACCGACTGAATATTGCATTGCATTGCATTCATAGGGTGGACAGGGCTGAATAATTTTACTGCAAATCACACTGCACCGAGTCATAACCAAACTCCAAACATCAAATAAGATCAAACTTGTGACAAGTAACTTAAAAACATCTTTAAGATATATCGAATCTTTTTTTTTCATCTGTATTTGTTCCACAATTGGGGAATTCAGAGCAGCAAATGTATTATTATTATTAATATTATCATTATTTATTATTAGTCAGCATAATAAAAGCTCAACCTATTAGTTAACCTTTTAACTATTCATTACACCCTCAGATGGTAATTTATTTTTAAGTATGAACACATTTTCATATGGAAAACCGTATTTCCTAAAATAAAAGAGCAGTTTGATATCTTTAAATATTAAAAGACAAATGACAGCAAACTATAGATACAGGAGAGAGATAATTATATTTGAAAACACAGAATTTGTTTGAGTTGTTTCAATTTTCAGGCTGATGTTAAATGGAGAAAATGCACCAACACACATTACTCTGGTTTGAAATTTTAACACCTTAATAGCAGTTTTCGGTTTTATAATTTTACCCCTATCCATAAATGTTGAAAAATACAGACAATTCTCCAACCTTTAAGGTCAAACCAAATTGAGATAAACTGGAGGAACGGTATAAATTCACCTATGCATAATGCTATTTTTAAATGCTATTGCAACACTATTTATGTATATTAAGTTTATAGGCTTATTTGGATGGTTTCTCATCTTTTTTTAAACTAAGAAAAAGTTGCGAAATTCATAGTTATTCTCGTTGGAAGCCACTGCTGGAAACTCTGCTTTAACAGCACAATGGGTCCCTGTGTTTGAGACTCCACAGACTGCTGATGTTTTGCCCCAAGACTTCAAACCTGTCCGCAAAAACTAAAACCTCCTTACGGAAAGGAAATAAAATCTCTTCTTACATGTTCGGCTGTGATTTAAAGCAGATAATAAAAGCACAATGCACCAAGGCAGCAGTGTTTACAACGGCCACATGCTCCCTGGATCCCAACACGTGGCTGCGCTGCGTTTTTACAGCGCAGCATGTATGTAAACAACAGCAGCAGCAGCAGCAGCAGTAGCAGTAGCAGTAGCCCCAACGAGAATACGAGCGGAACCCAAAATAATAATATATAAAATTAAACACCGAAATGCCCGACGAGGACCTCTAGGAAACACCAACATCACACTGAGGCATCATTATTATGGACACATGAGGTCAAACTACGCCAAAAAGTGGAGGCTGAGTGGAAGTTATACGCGCACACCCACAGTTACACACATGCGGGAAATGTGAAGATTTTGCCTGTGAATGTTATTATGATATTCTCTCTACGAACACGAGCGATAGCTCCCACTTTAACAATGTGATCAAAGCAGTGGAAAAACAAGGGAGCGTCTTACCAGCAGCTGAAATCACGCGAGACCTGCCCTGTCTGCTTTCCTTAGTTTTCCTGGAGTCAACACACGTCCCCGTCTGTCCCTCTGTGAGTCCGTCTGTGTCTGTCTCTCAGCGAACACAAACTGTCAAGCTCCAAGAGTCACTTGGTGTTTATGTGTACGCGAACACGTCTCCTCCTTCTTTTAGTCCTTTTTATTTCCGCCCCTTTATCGCGTAATAGGGCGTCTCATACGATGTATACATCCGGTTTAAACAGTGCGCCCCTCGTCTCCCCAGTTTTATGTTCTTATTTGTGTGTTTATTTCATTATACAACTAGGTGATGTCGTATCCAACCATGACGCACATCAGCACTGGGTGTGTTTGTCAACACAAGTGTTTCGTAATCATGGGATCAAAGCCGATGTACATGAAAAATATACCAAATAAATAATGATTAAGACACTGATCATTTATCATCTAATTTCTGGCGTTTGGAGAAATCAGGAATTCCCCAAAAATAAACTTAAGTATGATATAAGAAAACCCTCGTTTGTTTTCAAATAACAAACATATAAAGTATGTCCCATATAGTTCCAATCCTTTCATGTTTTCTTATCAAGACAACGATATAAACTTAGTCAACAACATTCTAAATCTTCATGAAATTATACTGAAAACCGCACGAGGTTGTGCGCAGGGTTTTAGTCACATATACATCACTGGTTGTCGCTTGTACCAAAATGAGACAGAAATGTACCATATTTCATATAAAAATGTATAGAGTAAATGTTTGAACATTTTATAAATCCAGTGAGAAGTGACTTCATTTTCCTTCATTTACTACTAAAGTAAGTGAATACGCTGCTTAATTTGAATTGGATATCTGATAATTATTTATTTTCAATACTTTGTTTCATATATGTTTAATATATTTATTTTCAAATTACATTGTAAAAAATAAATAAATAAAATTAAGTGAAACCAGACTAAGGTCGCGTTCATAAAGCGTTAACTCCCAACCGAAGGAGCACTTCCGGTCCTTTCCCCCAGCGCTTCCCTTTGCAAGCAGCGGGTCTGCAGTCGTCCATATCTTATATAAGATCTACAGAAATATTTATAGTGATTGCATAACACTAAAAACATATCAATTTTGCAACTCATGATGAAGCTGATTATCTGACCTACACTGAAACACAGCTGTATCTACATTACAGTCTCTACAGTGTCTTTTGAAAGATGGCTGTCACTGTCATTTAACCCATTGGAGTCGCAGGCTGCGCATTTACTCAGGCAGAAAATCTTAAAATAGGATCCCGTAATTAAATTAGCATGAATCGCATAAAAACAAAAATCCGATGGTTACAGTATTTTTTATGTGTCGACCTGCTTCCTGTGACTGGAGTCACAGAAGGAAAATTAATCCACCGCCTCTGCCTGCGCCGTCACTTCTCACACATTTTCACCGAGTGTTACGAACAGAAAACACAGCCCTCGTCCGGACACAAGCCTTCTTACATGTACTGCGCAGGTCTCCGTCAAAACCATGACGATGTAGCGGCGGCTCAGAATTCAGAAGCCCAGCACGAAGAAAAATCCTCTCCGACATATCCAGACCCAACTGGCTGCTAAAACCCGACTGTTACTACAACCCTAAAGATCCGCCCACTATAGCCGCGTCACTATTTGCGTCATCTCCGCTAACTTCCCCTCACTCACTCAGGTACGGAAAGATCACAACCAAGGCTCTGTTAGGATGAACATTTACGAAGTAAAAGGTAAATTTCATGCTTTAAACTTCCTTGTTTAAAGTTAGTTGGACCTACGGTCAACTCTATTCTATCTGAACTGAATCACTGTTAGACACAAGTCTTTTATCTATGTATTTTGAATTCAAAATACATATAGCGCATCACCCTCCCCTGCAGGTGATGCTGTAAAATTGATGTATTTCATTAAAGACATTTGGCACCTAAAAAGTCAAGAGAAGAACAGTATTTTATGAATCAAAACAGGCTGGGTTGGATCGAAAATCCGGTTTATTGATTACTTCACCAAATGCTCGAAAGATTACATCACAATATTATGTATAGAACTTAATTTCTATGTATCTTACATTGAAAACTTTACAGCCGCCTTTTTTCCATTTACTGTATATATTTATATATATATATTTATAGGTACCCCGGCTTCAGGGAAGAAAAGTTGCACAGGGAGGAATGCTTCTCAAAATAAACAAACAAAAAAAACAGTTAAATGCACTTAAAATAATTACAACCTCAGAAATAAAAGTCATGGAATAAACAACTATAGATCCAGGATGTTTCTCTCTAGATATGAGCTTTGGTTCCGTTTAAAGAACACATCTTTTGTCTTATACCAATATCAAAACCAGTAACAGTTTAATACATTCGTTTAAATCACTGTTAAAGTAACCTAACCAACACTGCTGCTCATATCTGAGAACAGACACCTCATCGGTGCGAGTGTCCCTTCCACACTACAGCTGACTGACAACAACGCAGCTCCAGTTCCACCGTTTAATTTAGAGAATGAACTTTAGGATACTTTTTGGGCAGATACGAAAGCAAATACTGAAGATTGGTTTAGCTCCACACACTTCCTTTTTCCTGATTCTAAATCCTTCTGTGGCTCAGGGCTTATGTTGTAGACTGAGGTGCGTTCCGACCAGAAGACTTCTGGTCAACTCATATTAGGTTAATGTATTTACTGTCATTTCAAAACCAGGAAAAATAGACTCCATGAGGAGTTCTTTATCATTAAGGCTTTAGTCAACATGTGAAAGCGTATTAGATTCAACCAACCAAAACCCCAGAAAAACAACCGTAAAACAAACGACAACAAAAAAACAAAATAAATAAATAAAAATCTCACCGACAGGCATGGATAATAAAGACATTAGGACAGTGGCGTCACGGACAGAGACTTTCTGAATAAAAGTTGCAGTAGTTGATAGTGTTGAAAAGAGGCTCCCAAACAACCCTCATTTCTAACTAAACAATTACATCACAAATAATAGGAAACATAAGCATAAAGTGACAAACAATGCTTTCAGACTCAGAGCAGGTACTTCAGGGGTCAAATGTTACAACATCCTTCAATTAGATCACCAAACTCAGGGGAGGAAGAGGGGTGGGCTGACACCGATGGTGTCATAATTTTCCTACAGGCACATGTGGCCGAGAAAAGATTCATCATATTGAATTAAATACAGTTCACTTTGCCTTCAGCATGAAGATATATCTTCTCATGTTAACAAGTTAAAAAAAGATACTTGGTTTGGAACAATATCAATAAATTATGTCTTTACAGTTCTTTTCTGGTCATTACAGTATGAGATGAGTCACCGAGGAGAAAATGGAGATGAAGGACAACAGTCAACAGAAGGTGCTGGTCACAGTGCTGTTCATCCCAGAGAGAGGAAGAAAGAAGAAGAAAAAAACAAAAGAAAAGTACAGGCTAAAGACATTTCTGCTCAACTGCAGCAGAAAAATTCAACATTGGATGCTGAGACTGCAGAGCTACGGTCCCATCATTTTCCTCATGGCGTTGTCTTGTGTCCTCAGTTCTTAGATATGAAAGAAGGTGCTACCATCATCCAACCCCTTCACCTGTTCCTTCATACACCCGATCTACAGTGCGGCCGTCGGAGAAGATGTCCCGTCACATGTGGAGATGGCGGCCGCGATACGGAAGACGGAACCGATGCGCAAGAAGAAACGCCTGAGGACGGCCCGCAGTTCAGGGATCAGATCAAACTGCATCATTTCGCAAAGTTGAGGGTAGTAGCAGGAGGCGTGAGGCTTAAACTGTAAACAAAAAGAAGACACATTCCCATTACAAAAGAATGGACCTAATGCACTGTGTTGCTCGTGTTTGCCTATCCTTTTGGTACCCTCAGGTGGATACACCATAACACACAACATATTATATGATAAATCCTAAAAATACTCTCTGATACTGTAATTTTAGTCTTTCACGAGTCACGATTCAAGATTTTTATCTGTTATCTTGATCATTATAGGTTTGACAAACAGTGAAATGCAACCCTGGGTCACTTCCACAGTGGGAACAAGAAATAAAAAGCAAAATTTATGATTGCATCAATATCAGCAGAATTATGTGATAACTGTAAGAATCGTTATCGGTTTTTCCTCCGATAATGAAAATCCGATAAGGCAATTCCTGGGTTTCGCCAAACGACATGCCCTCTAAAAATAGTTTTGGGGAAGAACGGCTGCATATGAAAGTGAAAGTCAATAGATGGCAGCATTGCAGCTCATCTTATTAATCTAATTTGTTAATCAGAGGATTGTATGCAGAATCCTGGTGCCAGCAACTCATGCAGTGGTTTGTATAGATAAATAAATAAATATTAACAAGTCCTTAGTAGTATTTCAATTCAGGGGGAATGATACATTTCTGTCCCCTAGGGGGAGCATTGCAAAATAATTGAGAAACACTGCTTTAACCCATCACCTTAGTGAGTGGCACTTAACTTCCTTAACCACCAGGACACCACTGCCCCGCTGTATCGTTATCGGTTGATATCGGAATCGGAAATTAAGTGTTTGGACAATATCGGCAAAAAGTTAATATAATGATGTACGTGCTGCGTGTGATATGTTAAAAAATTCAAATAAAGAAGTTAAAAAAATGGACTTCTCTCATGCAATTAATAAGAAATACACCCACATAGTACTGCGGACTTTCAAGAACCAGATCTCAAATTTGAAAAACCTGATGGCCTTTGCTAACAATTCCTGCCTGTGTGTGGTAAATTCCAGTGAAAAGGAAAGAATGTTGTACAGTGGACAGCATTTGTATGTGAGTGAATGTGAAATTGCAGAAAAAACGATGGGCTTCAGGCTTCATTTATACACTTTCTGCTCATGAGGGCAGAAATGCAGGCCAGTCTATTTAAGCAGCATTGTGGTGGGTTTTTGCTGATCAAGGTTGGTTTTTGTACTGAACTCAGCTACATTGTGCCAGAACTGCATGCTGGGTTGTTTTGTTACTGTAAGCGTGCAACAGCTTTGGCCTAAAAAAATCGATTAAAAAAAAAAAAAAAGGCGAGAAATCCTGAGTCACAGGCCGGAATGACTCATCAATGACTCATGTCCTCACACAGAGATGAAAGTGGAGAAGGTGAATCATAGGTGTCAGCGCCCTTAAAATGACCAAATATGACATTTATCGCACTGGATCAGCATTTGATGGGTTTTTAATGTATTTTTTTAACCACTAGACTACAGTGTTCTCTTTAGCGACATCTACTGTTTATGTGCTTTTGTGTACGTGCGCATTCTTGCCTTTTCATCAGGCAGCCGTAGCGTCCTGGTGAGCAGCAGCATCAGCAGACTGTTCCAGGCCTCTCTGTGACTCTCTGAGGTCAGACTGATGAAGTAGGCCAAGGCTTCGCTGCACACTCTGAAAAAATCAAACACAGCACAGATTATGACCAACACGGCACTGACTGATCCCATCACCGTCAGATAATGAGAATGGTGTCATATGATGGTCTCAACAGATAGATCAAGGACAGGGGCAACCAAAGCTCTGGCCAGGAATCAGTACCGGCTCATGGATCAGTTGGTAGTGGGGCCCCACAGAAATGATAAGATTTATTTTGATTTTTTTTTATTTATATTGGTCTCCATGGTATTTTATTTTGAAATAAAAAATCACTTCTGTCCAATTGACTCAGTCATGCTTTTTTCTTGCACCAGTAGCCCTTTAAAATAACATTTGCAATACAGCGGGACTCCAAGATACAAGCTCTCCGAAATACAAGTTTTCTAAGTTACGTGCTTCATTTTTCCACTTGACACTCACTCACTGTCCCTTGCTTTGTAATTTTACCCGTCGCTTTATTTCTCTTTCCTTTTCTTTTTCTCTCTCTCTCTCATCTAAATCGAGTCCTAACTCCCAGTCTTTTCCTCACTCACTGTCTCTTGTTGGGTTATTTTACCCATTTTTATAACAATAATATAAAATGTTTTCTTAATAATTATTATTTTATAATAGTAATATATTTGTCTATATATTATTATAATATATATTTCTGGGAGGCTGTAACAAATTAATTGGTTATTAGTGATAATTAATAATTTTACAAATATAAATCGAGATTTGAGCAGATCGACATATGAACACCATTGTGGAACGGATTAAACTCATATCTCGAAGCCCCACTGTATTGCATACACACTCAATTAAAAATATATATAAATTAGTAACTAGAAGGGCATACGTTGTTGCTGACTAGAGATAACATCAAATTTTACATTTGCTATGGCTCGAAGCCCCACTGTATTGCATACACAAATTTTACATTTGCTATGAACAAAGGAATAATGTATTTTACTTAGAAGCTATGACAAAAAAACCTTACCGACATGACCTTTTCTTTATGGTAATTCCTAAAACTGCATGTCTACAAGTATGGAAATCCCCATCTGCTTTCTGTGGACACGGCGTAGAAAATGTAGGACTTTCCCAAGTTGTATTTAAAAACTACAGTAGCTTTTTAGATCGGAGCAGGTGGTATTTGTCTAAATATACAGGGAACTAAATGTCATATTTAATCAGTGCCAACAGAAGCGTCCTAGACGTCCTCTCCAACAGCTTCAATGATTAACACCAAACAAACGTGTTGATGTAAAACATGAGTCGACACTTCAGAGCAGCTGAGCAGCGACAGACAAATTCAGTGTTGGGATTTCAGCAATGTATTCTTCGGAGTACACGCACTCAGAGTTCACTCCATGAATTTATGATGACGTACGGGCATCAAAAACCCCCCAGCTTTCCCATCGAAACGACAAACGGCGTGGTAAATAATCTCCATCTGCCACAGAGGCAGATGGAGATTATTTACCAAAGAGTTGAATATTAACGGGGCAAAAATTTTTTAAAGTTAACGGTGATGAGCAGCAGAGATAACATACTGTAAAAAATCAGAGGGTCTTTACACAACAACGACAATAATAACAGATTGTTAAAAATCCCTCTTTGAGTTCTTTGCAGTGCATAAGAAAATTAACTCACCTCCGACCTACTGCACCATAAACCGACTGTTGTGTCAAACTGTGATAAAAGGTCAGTTAAGTTCAGTCGAGAGTTGTTCCTCTTTAGGGCATTCGAATAAATTAAGTTACTTTTTGTTGACCTCCCACGGAACATTAGGTCATTGGTTCCCATTTTTTGGCTTGTGACTCCTTTGTGACATCACAAATTTCTGCCGACCCAGAGACTTTAAAAAAAAAAAAAAAGTTTCATCATGTGTGCTGTACTGTGTTAAAAATACGTACTAGATTGCCAGATTAGTGCACAAAGTACTCAAAGGAACTCACGTCAGCTGTCACACGATCGCAGCTGTCAATCAAAATGCGCCCGCTCGGATAGTTTTATATGCTACGTTTAGTTTGAACTCAATTCATATTCATGAGAGTGAAGTGAAGAATACAGTTGTTTAAGATTGTGTGTGCTGTTTTTAAACATCATTTTAAAAAGAATAATAACCAGTTGAAAAACTATGTTCATCATCAGTAATATTTTTATCAATAACTAGACATTTCAAGCGACCCCCCATGGGGTCACGACCCCAGGATTGAAAAACGTATTGAATTAGTGACATATATAATGTTGAGCGGCCATTATGTATGTAAAAACACACATTTAAATCACTGATCCTATTATTTTCCTGACTTGATAGCTTGTATCACTGTACTCACAGCAGCAGGCGTGTCTGGATATCAGGCCATGAACTCTGCAGCTGAGGGTCAGAGTACATCCTGAATAAGATCCTCAGGCTGCAGGCCAGGCTGCTGGTTTCCTGCTTCAATAAGTTGGGCTTGGATTTGCCTTTAAAACCTTATGGAAAAGATAAGGAGATAAGAAGGTTTGGTTGAAAAATAAACCAATAAACCAACAGAGAAAAACAATAAAAAAATATATAAAAAAGTTCCATCATTTTACCTGCTCTCCACAGAGCCGTCCTTTGTTCGTTGTTGGAGTTGAAGTCCTTGGCGAATCTGTGCGACTCCAGCAGACAGTCCAGCAGTTTGAAGAGATGTGCAGAGGTCATGTGTTTGTACATGCCCTGACCCGGCTCACTTCCACCAGACTCCGACTCCTCCAGAGCATCCCGCTAAACACGTCGGACATATATAAAGATATAACCATGTTTCTGTACAACCTACGTCCTCAAACACCAACACTTATATTATGTTTAGCGTCCTTTAGCTTGATTTGACATCCGGTCACATCAACGGTGCTAACACTGTACCTGTGCTGCGGCCATGTTTTCGGCGTCCTCCTTCTTGCTCGTTGCTGGGTAGAAGACGATGTTGTCTATGGTCTGAATGAGTTCCAGCTGGACAACGCATTTTATCAGCAGCCCAGCAAACAGTTTTTGGTCTGAAACCCCTGCAGCAAAAGAAACAGGGACATGTATGTCATGTGATCGTGAGGTTCCATGGTTAAATAGAAAAATGGTAAAATGCAATATGTTATTTCATTTGTTCAAGCAGGAATTAGTGTTTTAACCCTTGTGTAATGTTCATATTGTTGTTACTCAGCCAGTGTTTGTGGGTCTGATGGACCCGTTGCATTTTGTGGCTTTTGATGCCTCACAATCAACACTTTAATGTTAAAATACTGAACAGATGTTTACCTTATCCCAATTACAAGCAGTATAAACAATATATAT